CCCTTTCTCTAAATAACTTATTTATGTCACTATGTCTTATTTTTTCAAGTTTAGGCGCTATCAACTGACTTCCCACTCTGAAAGAAGAGAATAGCTTTATTTCCTTCCCAGGCCTTTATGACACATTGCTTTTTTTCCCATTCCTTCATCCTCTTGTTAATCAATTTTGTAATTTTGCTGAGATGTATATTCAGTGCTTACATTATTAAAACTCTGAAGCACTATTTATAATTGAGCCACCTGGTAAACCATGATTAATCTTTCCCCTCCTGACCTGCTTTCCCTCCCTCTCGTTTTCCATGTGTGACCTCCTAACCCATACCCGCCGAGGACTACCAAAACCTTTTCTCCAGCCACGTGTTCTCTCTTGAGTCTCAAACATATAGGTTTCTGTATCAGTTCCACAAATAACTGAAAAACATCTACTGACTACTGTGTATCTGGCATTGTACTAAGTACTATAGATATATTATCTCCGTCAATCCACAGGATACTATTTTAAATAGTATCATATATTATGGATACCATTATAGATATACCTTTAACAGATGAGGAAAATAATGTTCAGAAAGCTTAAGTGCTAACTTGCCCACGTACACAGCCAGTAAGTATAACAGACATGATGTAAAGTCAAGCAGTGGGACTCTAGGGCCTATGGTCATAACCACCTAAACTCTACACTCTTTCAGTGAATATATGTCAGCTGGAAGCCACCATGAGCCTAGCATGGTCTCTACCATGATAAATAATCAGACTATTCTTGCTTTCTTGGAGCTCACAGTCTAGCAGATATGACTCACAAACAAGACCATACAATAAGAATGCAACGAAGCACATAGGATAAGGGCAGTTATAACAAATAGAAGGATACATAGAAATTAGACAAGAAATAAATATTTATTGAGCACATACTATGTGCCAGGCACTGTGCTAGGTGCTGATGACTCAATGTTAAGCCAAACAAGAACTACCCAGGCTGAGAGGAGACTGGGAGAGGGGAAGATGAGTGATCCAGGCAGAGCAAAGAGCATGTACAAAGGTCGAGAAATGCAAGAGTATAAACTGTTCCAGGTATTGAAAGCAATTCAGAGGAACTATAATACATAATTGTAAAGGGGGAGGTATGAAGCTGAAAAGATTAAAAAGAAAAACAAAGAACCAAATCAGAGAGGTGAAGGCAATGCTGACGAGTTTGGACTTCAGTCCAATGGTAAATTTGGCACTCACAGCGTACATGTGCAGAGAGAGGTGTGAGCATATTAGTGTTTTAAAACGACTTCTTTGATTACAGTGTGGAGAATGAATTAGAAATATGATGGAAAGAGAACAAATAGGAGGCTGTCACATTATACTAGACTAAGAGGTAACTATGGTCTGGATTAAAGTGAAAATAGAGGAAAGTGGATTATTAGGAGATACAATTGTCAGGAATCAGGAGTAATTCATTCCTTTCTTTGTTCCATAAGTATTTATAGAATACCTAGTGTGTATCACCTTGTGCTACACCCTGGGAGATACAATGAAGAAAGATATGATCCCTGGCTCTAATGGATTTTGTAGTACAGAAGGAAAAACAGATATTAGACAAATAATCAAACAAATAATAACACAAATAATCAATTACAACTGTGATAAGTCCTTCAAAGGAGAAATACCAGATGCTTCTACAGGAGAACCTGACCCAGTCAGACCAATACTAGGAGTAAAAGAAACCTTAAGAAAGCGTTTTTTTCTTAAATTGTCATAAATTACTCATAAAATTTACCATTTTAGCCATTTGAAATTGTACTGTTCAGTAGCATTCAGTATGTTTACAATGTGGAACCACCATTACCACTATCTAGTTCTAGGACTTATTCATCACCCTAAAGGGAAACCCTGCGCCCACTAAGCAGTCCCTCCCCATTGCCCCCTGGCACCCACTAATCTGCATTGTCTCTATGGATTTGCCTATTTGAAGATTTCACATGAATGGAATCACAAAATATGTGGGTTTTGTGTCTGGAGTCTTTCACTTAGCACAATGTGTTCAAGGGCCATCCATGTTGTACCATGTATCAGTACTTCATTCATAGTTAGAGCTGAGTAATATTCCATTGTAGGGATGTAACATATTTTGTTGATCCATTCATCAGTTGTTGGACATCTGGGATGTTTCCAATTAGAGCTAATATGGACATTCATGTACAGGTTATTGTTTGAACACCTTTTCGGTTCTTTTGGGTATATACCTAGAAGCTGAATTGTTGGGTCATATGCTAACTCCATGTTTAACTTATTGAGGGACAGCCAAAATGTTTTTCATAGTGGCTGAACCATTTTATATTTCCAACAGCAACGTATGAGGGCTCCGATTTCTCCACATCTTCATTGATACTTATTACTGCCATCTTTCCCATTATAGCCATCTTACTATGTGTGAGGTGGTATGTTATAGCTTTGATCTCCATTGCCCTAATGACTAATGACATTCAGTATATTTTCATGTGCTTATTGACCATTAGTATCTCTTCTTTGAAGCATGTCTATCCAAGTTCTTTGTCCATTTCTGTTTGTTTTTTATGGTTGGGTTGTAAAAATTATATATTCTGGGTGCTACACCATTACCAGATATATTGATTTGCAAATAGTTTTTCCATTATTTAGGTTGTCCTTCACTTTCTTTGTAGTGTCCTTTGATGCACAGGTTTTTAATTCTGATGAAGGCCAACTTATCTATTTTTGTTGTTGCTTGTCATTTAAGTCATATTTAAGAAACAATTGTGAAACCCAAGGTCATGAAGATTTGTCTCTATGTTTTCTTTGGATAGTTTTATAGTTTTAGCACTTAAATTTAGGTATATACTCCATTTTGAGGTGTTTTTTTTAATGTGGTGTGTGGTAAGGATCCAGCATCATTCTTTTGCATGTGGTTTTCTAGTTGTTCCAGCACCACTTGTTAAACAGACTGTTCTTGCCTTGGCCAGTGTGGCTTTGTTAGTTGGACATCCTTTGTGCACTGAGAGGTCGCTGGTTCCATTCCCAGTCAGGGCACATGCCTGGGTTGCTGGCTTGATCCCCAGTAGGGGGTGTGTGGGAGGCAGCCAATCAATGTTTCTCTCTCATTGATGCTTTTCTCTCTCCCCTCCTCCCTTTCTCTAAAAATAAAAAAAATCAATAAAAACATTTTTAAAAAAGGAGACACTGTTCTTTTCTCCTATTGGTCTGGGCACCCTTGTTGAAATCAATTGACCATAGAAGCATGGGTTTATTTATGGACTCTCAATTCTGCTCCATTAGTCCCTGTTTATCCTTATGCTAGTACTACACTATTTTCATTACTGCAGCTTAGTAGTAAGTTTTTGAAATTGGAAAATATGGATCTTCCAACTTTGTTCTTCTGTTTCATGATTGTTTGAGCTAGCCTGGGTCTATTGCAATTCCATATGAATGTTAGGATTGGCTTTTCCATTTTTGCAACAACAACAAAAAGACTCCATTGGGATTTCAATAAGAATTGAAGATGGCTTGGGGGAATATTGCCATCTTTATAATATTTGTCTTCCAATCCATGAACATAGGATGTCATTCCACTTATTTAGGTATTAAATTTCTTCCATATGTAGTAGGAAGTGACATTTAGGTTGATGAAATTATGCTGTGAGAAGGGAAGGGAGTGACCTGAGATGGCATCTGGGCCAAGGGTTCAGGCATCTGGCATAGTGGCTGGTGGCACTCTATGTGGGAAACAAGGACAGAGAACGCAAGAGGAGACATTGTTGAATTTAGTTTAGATGTGTTGAGACTTATGCCTATGAGATATTTAACTCAGAGGGTTAAAAATAATTTTTTAAAACACCCTTACTTCAGCAAGAGTAGATGTTTTGGATTAAACGTGACATTTCAAAGCTGAGCGCTCCTTTTTAGATTTCTCTGTCATCAAAGAAAAAAAATGTTTGGTACAGTTTTTGTATTGTGCATTTTATTGCATTAGGTAACCTCTACCATATCAATAGGCTAATATATATATTTACATCAAGTGATTAGAGTCTGATTTAAAACTATGAATGTTCTTAAATATTACTATAAGAAAAAATATTTTCTTTGAGTTTTAACATAGAATACAGCTGAGGTTTCCTTATCTTTGGATAATGTCGGCCCCTTTATACTTACCTAATAATTTTCCTTTGAAATATTCTGTAATTAATGGAGCAAGTCAAGTACAATATACCTTTAATCCAGTATGGAGACATTTGCTTACATTCTTCATTCTTATTCATCGCATGCCCCTCTCCTGACATGCTGCCCTCCACATACAACATATGTGAAGTGCATGTGACAGGTGACACTCACCTTGTCAGCTCATCTAGGAGGTGGGTAGGTTAGAATTAATGTTGTGATGACCTAGTGCTTAGGTCACTGCATCACCTACCAAAGGTTATTTTGCACATTTATTAATACATTATTTAATATTAGCATGAACTTTTTGTATATTATTGCCTAAAATGTTTATAAAAAGACATATTTTAAAAATTATTCAATTTTTAAACCATTTTGTAACGAGTGTCTTGAACTAGATGAATAAAGCTCAAGGTTTTAAAAAATCAAACTCAAGTGAGAATGTAGCATGGCCTTATGGTAAAATATCAGAGTGCTAATGATTAAACAAGACCCAAATGAGGGCGCTATCCTACATTACTGTAGTCATACTGAATAGTAACTGTATAAAATGAGAAACTGTCTACATCCTATGAACACTATTAATGATAGACTTGTTTTTTTATTAAAATGACAAGAATACAAATAGCTAATATCAGTAAAATGCAGTAGTGTTCAGGCTCTTAAGTCAAAGCCAACGGACAGAAAAGGTAAGAGATTTAGGAGATTTTAGGGGAAAAAGGAAATGTCACTGGACTTCTTGCTCTATATAACAAACAGTAGCCACAGGCAAAGAAATAAAAAATAAAATAGCAATTAAGTTGATTGCAGTACTTTAATGTTTTAAAGAAAACTTATTAAAAATACAAATTTTTAAAAATCTTACATTCTTGACAGACATAGCATCACCTGCTTTTCTAAAAATAGTAGCGGTAAACACAATTGTAGAAAATGTATGTTAATCAGTGGTACAATGCTATGGGTTTAAAAATCCTGACACACTCCTACTATCTCTTGCTTTGAAGTCAGATTATGGCCTGGAATTTATGTCAGGTTGGTTCCAAAATGGCATAATGGGACCCAGACCAGTATCACTAAACTGTGCCTATTTTGGGACAACTTCTCCAGCCAAGAAAGCATAAATCACAAAAAAAATTTTAACCAACCAATTATTTGAGATACCAAGAAAGGAAAGGAAATAAGTTTTGTAAAAAACACTTTCCCCTTTTTATAAGCTTCTTTATTTACTCTGGATAGGTAACATGACAGCGTTCAATAGTGAAGTAAGCAGATTTTACACTCACTATTACTGTATGGATAGAAAAAGCCACATGCACTTTTGTTTTTATAAGTCATCTCCGGTCACTGCAATATGGCACATGAGAACAGAGATTCAAAGGCACAAAGTTAACATATACATTTAACATTGTCAAGCATTAAAAAAATAAATGCAATCATATAACAAAAAAAATAAGTTTGACATTTTGACCTTTCCCAAAGATGTGAAGAATCTTTTCCCAAGTCAGAAATCTCTATAGCAAAGATTCCTATGAGAGAGAAAAAAAATGTGCAGATTAATATTTTTAATTCAATGATTTCACCATGTATAAAAACATATTCTAACAATACTTCGGCAATAGTTAAGATTTTTTCCCAGCTTCTGTGAAGAAAAACAGATACAATGTATATATTTTTTGCTCAGTTTTTACAAACTGTGATACATCAATATCTTGGAATTATGTTCAGCAATAAAAAGGAATGGACTATTATTACACATAACTTGAATGGATCTCAAGGACATTGTGCTAAGTGAAAAAAATCAATCTCAAAAAGTAACAGTGTTTGTGGTTCCATTTATATAGCATTCTAAAAATGACAGAATTACAGAGATGGAGAAGAAATTAGTGTTTGCTGGGGGAGTGCTTTGACAATAAAGGGGTATCATGAGGGAGTGAGTTCCTTGGTGGTGACGGACCAATTCAGTGTCTTGATTGTGGTGGTGAATTACGGGTGGTGTGTAAAAAAAGCTGCACACACACACACACAAATGAGAGCATGCAAAAACTCATGAAAACTGAATAAGGTCTATGTTAGCATTGTACCAATGTCTATTTCCTGGATTGTAAAATGTTGTCATTGGTAAACTGGGGGAAAGAGATGAGGAACTCTATTTTTGCATCTACCAGTAACATGGTGATTCTTTTCAAATAAAAAGGAAAATAAAACAAAACTGGTACATCCATATGATGGAATACTTTTCAGTGGTTAAAAGGAATATGCAGCAACATCTGATGCATACAACAACCTGGGAAAATCTCAAAAATATGCTGCTGACTGAAAGTCAGCCACTAGAGGCTACATATGACTCCATTTGTATGACATCCTGGAAAAGGCAAAACTGTAGGGACAAGAAACAGACCAATGTTGGAGGAAAGCAGATTAAGTATACTTACTGTATTCTAGATAATAGGTGGCCATCAAAGGATACCATTTAAAACTAACAGCAAAAGTTAAGTAAGGAGATCCAAGATGGTAGCCGAATAGGTGGAAGTTAACACTCACCTCCTCTGAGGACAGAACTTGAATTACAATTAAATATAGGACAATCAACCTGAATAACCAACTGAAGAATAGCTGAACAGAAGTCTTATAAACAAAGATTTACAGAGCAAGCCTCATCGAGATAGGTAGGAAGGGCAGAGGCATGAAAGGGCTGGCCCCATTCCCACAGGAGCAGCTAAGGTTCCAGAGGGATATCTCAGCCGCAAGGGGTTCCCCATGAAAAGTATGGGGTCTCAAACCCACACCAGGCTCCCTAGCCCAGAGCACATGAGCTGGGAAGAGGAGCCCACATAACATCTGGCTGTGAAAACCAGCAGGGATTCTGTCCTGTATGGAGAGGCAGGAGTCTGTTAGAGAACCAGCACCCTCTTAAAGTGCTAATGCACAAACTCTTGTTCACAGCCACTCACCCTGTGCTCCAGTGGAGGGAGGGTGGGGCCAACTAGAGTCCTGTGAGGACAGACTGGGATTTGTGGCTCTTGGGAGAGAACTAAAGGGACAGCCACCAGCCACCAGAACCCCTGTGCAGACAGCATCTTTTTTGGGTGGAGCACTCCCCTCCTTATGGAACCAGCCTGGGGGATGCAATAGCTCAAACCTCTGGACTTCCTGTTGCCCCAACTTGCAGAGCTCATGCTGAGGATTCAGTTGTCTGGGCTGGGGTACTGAGGTCCAAGCAGCCTCAGGGGTGTCCTTTACTGAGTTGTGTGGATTTGAGGTGGGACCATTCCCCCCACTTTCCCATGAACCTTACTGGTGCCTCCCCCTCATGGGAGATACACTACATCCAACCTCTAGGCTCCTGGTAGCCCCCCATCCTCACTTTTGGTGGTCCCTCCCTGCCAAGGAGGTCTGGACTGAATCTGGGAAAGGCTGAGTTGTTTCTAGGATATGGTCCATTTTTCTCTTGCATATGGAACTGGTGGAGAGCTCTCCCTTCAAATGGCCAAATCTTGGTCTGTTTGAGCCTGAGAAACTCTGCTGGCCTCACCCTGATGACTCTCTGAGGCCCCCACCCCACCACAAAGGTCTGCAGGAACCCAGGAGGTGATAGCTAGACTTGATATGTGTGAACTTTTGCTGAGTGCCCTCTGACCTGGCACTGGCATGAGTTTGAACCTGTATTAGTCTGGTGAATACCACTCGCCCCTACCTGGTGACTCACTGAGGATAAAGCTAGAAGAGTTGATTTCCAATAAACCAATATTATAAGAAATGTTAAAGGGTCTTCTTAAGAAGGAGGAGAAGGAGAGGAGAAAGAGAGGAGAAGGTGGAGGAGGAGGGAGGAAGGAGGAGGAGGAAAGAGGAGAGGAAGAAGAGGAGGAAGAAGGAGGAGAAGAATACAGAGAATAAAATGACAATAGATTTGAAGCTATTAATAATCACTTTAAATATAAATGGCTTAAATGCTCCAACCAAAAGACAAAGGGTAGTTGAAAACTACCTTGATATTTACAGAATATTTCATCCCAAAGCAGCAGAATATATATTCTTCTCAAGTGCACATGGAACATTCTCAAAGATAGACCACATGTTAGGACACAAAATAAGTCTTAATAAATTCAAGAAGATTGAAATCATGTCAAGCATCTTCTCTGACCACAGTGGTATGAAATTAGAAATCAACTACAATAAAAATACTGAAAAACATTCAAACACATGGAGACTAAATAGGATGTTATTAAACAACAAAGGGTTAACAATGAGACAAATGAAGAAATAACATGTTACCCGGAAACAAATGAAAATAAACACAAAACAACACAAAATCTATGGGGCACAGAGAAAGCAGTCCTGAGAAGAAAGTTCATAGCATCCAGGCTTAAATCAAGAAACAAGAAAAATCTCTAACAAATGATCTAACACTACACCTAAAGGAACTAGGAAAAGGACAACAAACAAAGCCCAGAGTAAGCTGAAGGAAGGAAATAAAAAAGATCAGAGTGGAAATAAATGACATTGAGACTAAAAAAATTTACAAAAGATAAATGAAACCAAGAGCTGCTTCTTTGAAAAGATAAACAAGATCGACAGACCTTTAACCAGAGTGATACACAAAAAAAGAGGACTCAAATAAATAAAATAAAAAATGAAAGAGGCAAAGCAACAATTACAAAGGGTTATAGGCAAATACTATTAACAACTATATGCCAACAAATTGGACAGCCTGGGTGAAATGGATAAATTCCTAGGAACATACAATCTTCCAGAACTAAATCAGGAAGAATTAGAAAACCTGAATAGACGGATTACAATTAATAAAATTGGAGTAGTAATGAAAAAAATTCCCAACAAACAAAAGTCTGGAACTAGATAGCTTCACAGGTGAATTTTACCAAACATTCAGAGAACTAACACCTATCTTTCTTCAAACTATTGAAGAGAAGGATAGTTCTTCAGACTACCCAAAAATTCAAGAGAAGGTAAGACTTCCAAGCTCTTTTTACAAGGCCAGCATTACACTAATTCTAAAGCCAAATAAAGACACTACAAAAAAGAGAAAAGTATAGGCCAATATCTCTGATGAACATAGATGCTAAAAACTTCAACAAAATATTAGCAAACTGGATCTAGCAATACATTAAAGAGATAATACACTATGAGATTTATTTCAGGATGAAGGTTGGTACAATATTTGCAAATCTATAAATGTGATACATCACATAAACAAAATGAAGGATAAAAATCACATGATTATATTAATAGATGCAGAAAAAGCATTCGACAAAATTCAGCACCCATTTATGATAAAAGCTCTCCACAAAGTGGCATTAGAGGGACCATACCTCAACATAATAAGGCCATATATGACAAAATTGCAGCCAATATATATTCAATGGGCAAAAACTAAAAGCATTTTTCTTAAGATCAGGAACAAGGCAGGGATTCTGCTTTCACCACTCATATTCAGTGTATGTTCTAGCCATAGGGATCAGATAAGACCAGAAATAAAAGGCATTCAAACAGAAAAGGAGGAAGTAAAACAGTCATTTTCCACAGATAACATGGTATTGTACATAGAAAACCCTAAAGACTCCACCAAAAAGTTACTAGATCTAATAAATGAATTTGGCAAAGTAGCAAATACAAAATTAATATTCAGAAATCAGTGGCATTCTTATACATCAATAGTGAATTCTCAGAAAGAGAAATTAAGAAATAATCCCATTTACTATTGCAACAAAAAACATAACGTACATACGTATAAATTTAGCAAACTAAATAAAAGACCTGTGCTTTGAAAACTATAGGACATGGAAGAAAAAAATTGAGGAAGATACAAATAAGTGGAAGCATATACTATGTTCATGGACTGGAAAAACCAACATCATTAAAATGTCCATAGTACACAAAGCAATCTATAGATTCAACTAAATTCCCATTAAAATACCAAAGGCATATTTTATAAATCTAGAACAAATATTCCAAAACTTTATATGTAACAAAATAAACCCCAAATAGCCTCAGCAATCTTGAGAAAGAAGAACAAAGTTGGAGATATCACAATACCTGATATTAAACTACACTACAATGCCATTATAATAAAAAAAAGCTTTGTACTGGCATAAGAACAGGCATATAGATCAATAGATCAGAACAGAAGGCCCAGAAATCAACCCACATCTCTATGGTCAATTAATATTTGACAATGGAGGTAAGAGCTTACAATGGAGTAAAGTCAGTCTCTTCAATAAATGGTGCTGGGAAAATTAGACAGGTACATGCAAAAAATGAAACTAGACCACCAACTTACACCATAGACAAAAATAAACTCAAAATGGATAAAAGACTTAAATATAAGTCATGAAACCATAAAAATCCTAGAAGAAAACATAGGCAGTAAAATCTCAGACATCTCTCATAGCAACATTTTTGCCGATATATCTCCTAGGGCAAGGGAAACAACAGAAAAAATAAACAAATGAAATTACATCAAATTAAATAGCTTCTGCACAGCAAAAGCAACCATCAACAAAATGAAAAGGGAACCATCTCTATGGGAGGACATATTTGCCAATGATATGTCTGATTAGGGATTAATTTCCAACATATATAAAGAACTCATACAACTCAACACCAAGACAAACAACCCAATTATAAAATGGGCAAAGAATCTAAATAGACAGTTTTCCAAAGACAACATAGAGATGACCAATAGACACATTAAAAAGTGCTCAACATTATTAATCATCAGAGAGATGCAAATTAAAACTAAAGCTAAATCACCTCACACCATCCAGAATTGCTACCTTCAATACATCAATAAACAACCTGTGTTGGTGAGGATAGTGACAAAGGGAACCTGCATGCACAGTTGGTGGGAATGCAGATGAGTGTAGCCACTCTGAAAAACAGTATGGAGTTTCCTCAAAAAATTAAAACTGGAATGGCCTTTTGAGCTAGCAATCCCACTTTTGAGAATATACCTTAATAAACCTGAAACACTAAAGAATATATGCTCCCCTATGTTCACTGCAGTGTTATTTACAATAGCCAAGATCTGAAAACAGCCCAAGGGCCCATCAGTAGATGAGTGGATAAAAAAGGCTGTAGTAAATTTACACCATGGAACACTATGCAGCTGTTAAAAAAAAAAAAAGAAAATCTTACTTTTTACGACAGCATGGGTGTACCTCAAGATTACTTTGGAAAGTGAAATAAGCCAGTGAGAGAAAGACAAATGCCATATGATCTCACTTATATGTGGAATCTAATAAACAAAATATACTGACGAATGAAATAGAAAGGGCATGGACACAGGAAACAGACTGACAGCTTTCAGAGGGAACTGTTGTTGTGGGGCTGGATTAAAGAAGGTAAAGGGATTAAGCAAACAATATATATATCTATATATCTACACATATAGATATATATACATATATGTATGTAGATATATATCACAAAGACACAGACCACAGTGTGCTGACAGTCAGAGGGAAAGGGGGCTGAAGGGTAGGTGGAGGTGGGCAAAGGGTAGAAAATGGGGATGGAAAAAGACTTTGCTTGGGGCGTCTGGTGCACGATGCAGTGTGCAGATGTTTTATTGAGTTGTACACTTAAAACCTGTAGGGTTTTGTGAACCAATGTTACCAAATAAATTCAATGAAAACAAAACAAAACAAAGATAAAAATTAAATAATAAAACTTGAAAAATAAAAGGTAGCCACTATAATAAAACACATTCTTTCTTGAATTTCAAAAGAAATGTTCAAAAGCAAAGAAGAATGAACAAATTGAGAAATACAGTAAATGTCACTTATTAAACACAATTATCAGAAGATGACATGACAGAGTTGAGACCAATTTTAACAGTTATCTCAATAACATGACGGAGCTTAACTCACCTATTTTTTTAAAACAGAATTTCAAAATGGCCCATAATGCAAAACTCAGATCCATACTATACTATATATGAGAGATACTTAAAATGCATTGATTGTAAAAAGCTAAAAATAAAGAGTTGGACAAAGATTTACCAAGCAAATGAAGACAATAAGGAAACAGGAGTTGTAACTCTAAAAACAGACAAAGTAGATGCCAAGCCCCTGTCCCTCCAAAAAACTAAATGTGTCAGAAAAGGACACCTCATAAAAGAACCACATTCCACAATGAAGATATGATAGTTCAGAATATCTATCTCCTTTGTAAGAGACACAAGCAACAAAAATATACTAATAATAGATTTTAAAACACCATTCTTAGTAAAACAGGTCAAGTGGACAAAAATTAAGCAACAATATAAAAGAGCTAAATAAAAATTCAAATGTAAGTCTTTTGGGTATATATACACTATACCCTGAGAAAAAACAATATATTTTCTTAAGTACACATGAACACAAAAATTGATCATGTAATAAAGTACAAAGAACACAGTAGTTTCTATAAATTAGGAAAATTATAAACAATATTCTCTAATCACAATGCAATTAACACTAGAAATTGAAAATGAAACCAAAACACAAAAAAAGCCCTTCTCAGTGGAGGGGTGGGATAGAAAGCATACAGGAGAAAGTGACACTTCGAGTATTACTTTTGCAGAGTTTTGATTTTGAAAGTATTATCTATATACTCAAAAATTAAATTAAATCAAACTAGAAAGAGAAAAAATGAAAGTAAATGAAAACTAATAAATTTAATGTTATTTCAAGTGTGTACATATATAACCACAGAAAAAGAAAAAACTAATCCAAGTGATTTATGAAGACTATTTATATGCCCACAAGACTTGGGCCTTAAGGCATATGGGGACAAGAAGGAAGAGTTGGAAACAGATCCTGAACTTTTTTTAAAAAGTTGGCCTGCTTATTATGTTGATATAAGTGAGAAATTTTGAAACATTTTTTGATGAATTCTGGGATTGAGCAAATGAGTAACTGCAATGTGTTGATGTTGAGCCAGGGTTCTCACTGTAGAAGGACACACTAATACAGAATGGAAGAAGGCAAGGGAGAAATCCGTGAGGATGGGTTGGAACTGGAATTATTGGTTATTTTGTAAAAATGTGTGTAGAGAGAAAAAAAAGGGAGCATGTGCAAGAGTGTGAGTGTATGACACAGCACATGTATTATCTCACACATGTAACATGCAAATGGGGTAAAATTTTAACAGTGAGTATGGGTGAAAGGTACACAGATGTCCCCTGTATTATTTTATTATTTTTGTGACTTCCTGTAAGTTTGAAATTATTTCCAAATAAAAAGATTTTTATAAAATTTGTGACATATAGAAATATATCTAAAATATTGCCTCTTGCCCAGCCGGGCATGGCTCAGCGGTTGAGCGTTGACCTAGGATCCAGGCGATTGGGGTTCGATTCCCAGTCAGGGCACTTGCCCGGGGTGCGGGCTCGATCCCCAATGACTCTCTCATCATTGGTGTTTCTATCTCTCTCTCCCTCTGCTGCCCTCTCTCTGAAATCAATAAAGATATATAAAAAAATTAAAAAAAAAAATAAGTAAATAAAAATAAAATATTGCCTCTAAAAATTAGCATGTTACTTTTCTAGAGCATATGTATTTTTTGGTGCTATAAAAATTAAACAATATTTCATTAATTAAAATTAACAAATTAATCTAATTAATTTATTAACTTTAATAATGCTCAGTTGGTTAGAGTGTTGTCCTGATATACCAAGGTTGTGATTTTGATCCCTGGTCAGTGTACATACAAGAATCAACCAATGATGCATCAATAAGTGGAACAACAAATCGATGCTTCTCTCTCAAAACAAGATCAATAAAAAATTAATAAAAATTGATGTAGAAATAAAATAAAAATCATATCTTAAAAATAAAATTTATGTAAACAAATAAAACAGATCTTTCACTTTAGAATATTTATATAAAGCTAATTATCAAAATACTTTATTTTATGTGAACATAACTAATCATGTTTAAATAGGACTATTAATGATAGTCTGTTACTGAGCCTCCTTCCACCCTCAAATAGTCACTGTATATATTGCTATATGGTCCCCACAGAATGGATCCTTAAACCACTCACTCTTCTAGTGATCGATCCAGGCCTCGGTCAGGTGATCGATGGTGAGCTCGTTCTGGTGAATGACATTTTGTATTTGGCTTTGTTGTAGAACTCAAATGATAAGTATTACTTGAGTAATTCTGGCGGCGAAGCTCTTGCACAGCTCTCTCCCTAAAGCAAAAAGTTTAAAATATAAGTTTTAAACTTTATATCCAGTGGCCTTATTAATACTGTGGTAAAACTGAAGTTCCATGCAAACTCGAAAACCTAGGCATCATGCAATAACCCAAACCTGTTGTTACCTAAGAAACAACGCTTCCCAGGCTAAATGCTGCAGAGAGACCAACCTACCTTTCAAAGCGCTCGGTCCCTAGCTGTCTTTTGGTAATGTCTAAATCAGCTTCCAGTTGCGTTACGACGTTCCTGAACTGGGCCACATCTCTACTCTGGATGGCCCTGTGTCAAAGAATGTAAGAGCGACAGCTGATTAAACTTTAAAAAGTCTAGGATTCCTAGGGTACACTAAACCATGTTGACAAGGTTTTCTCCTCTGGAGCCAAGCCAAATTGTGAGCTTTATGGATGTATATGCCAATTTTAGATGCAGTAAATGTACAATGTAGCCTACTTGAAAAGCTTAAGGTGTGCCAGCCAAATTCAACTAGTTATACCTTCTCCATGTCAGTTTCCCTGGGTTTACATGGAGTAATATGATCTATTATCTACCTGTATTCCCTATCTACTGCAAATTATTTTTATACAAGTACTCTGAAGTATTATCCACTAATAATGGTATAACCAAATAATCAAAACTGGAATTCACTAGCACCGGGATTAATATGGTCTGTTATATATGACATCAGCCAAGTCCTTTATGTATACTCATAATTGAATTTGATATACTGCACACTCTCTTCAATTTAACAGGACCTTGTTTAGGGCTAAATCATGCCACAAAACCCCTGCAGCAAGGCACACTGTCACAGGGAAGGTAATGAGGTGAATGCTGATTGTCCAGAACACTCTACCCTCTTTGCTGGCTTCCAGGACGCATTATAGACTGCTGAAACCTAACCTTAGAGGCTAGGAACACAAAAGTCGATCCTGTTGACCAGTTTAAGGGATAGTACTTATCAGCCAGTCTAAAACAGAATGGTGCCTTTAAGGTGGGGGTTTTGGCCCCCACCTTACTTCACTAAGACAGATTTCCACCTGCCAGATTGAGAAAGTGATCTTGCAAAACCAGCTGAAGTTATCATCACAGCCCAGCTGCAGTGACTAAAAAGAATGACTCAGTGACAGCTCCATAACCTGAAAACAGTTGCTGAAGGAACTGGCTTTGGCTTTGCAGACTTTGCTTAGTCAGGGGCTCCTGTGAGTGGCTGATTCTTGAGATCATGATTCCCATCCTTCCCCAGGTGCCAAGCTCAGACAGGAGGGCAGAGTAGAGGCTGGATGAAAAACTGTTACAGATGAGACAGGTAAGAACAGAAGTTAGGGGTCCCCATGTGGTTTTGTGAGAAGCGACCAAGTTTAACAATAGAACAGTCACTATCCAGGCAGGTATTTCTACCCACCCTCCAAGCCAGGGTCATGGAATGCGCTGCGGGGGATTCTAAAAGAAGCAGCCACAGTCAGTGCTCTAAGGGAACCTTCCAGTAGTCTGCGAATGCAGGAGTTCTTCCAGGTACCTAGGATGTACAATTATAGGTACATGAGAAAATACTGTGTGACAAATGGAAAGATTAGGGAGCAATACCAGGTGGTCCATAAATAGAAAAATTCTGGTTTCAGAAGTGCATTTTTTTTCTTCCTACTCTGGTTATAATATTCCTAAAGGTAATATTTTAGATTAGACATCCTATTATACCCAAAGCTATATTGGAAACAAACAACAGAGATGGTTAAGCTTACATTTAGATCAATTTAGCTGAACATAATAGAAATAAATACTAAATTGTAATCACAGTATTTCTGGTCGTCAATTTAATTGATGACCAATTATAGACGCTTAAATTATATGAATTCCAGCTTTAAAATTCTACTAACCTATAAAGTATCAGAAATTTAAGGAATAGAACTTTGTTATTATATTGCTAAGAAACTCACATTTTATTTTCTGCCAGACATAGGTGTTCTTTAAGAAGCTGAATTTCAGATTCTTTTTCTTGAAGCGCTATCTGAGACTGATATTCTTTGTCCCGATTGGCCACCAGCAAAGCTTCTAGATTCTGCATGGAGATTCTCTCATTTGTCATCTGACTCCTGAGGAGTTCTATTTCAGAACGAGCAGACTCAAACTCACTCTCCATCTGTACAACAGGAAGATATCCATGCTTATTCCTACTCATTCACTTAACTGATAGAGTACGATACTCACAAAACTTCTGAATTATGTTATAAACTAAAAACCCCTTTTAATTTCTTGATTAGAAATATTGTCCTTCTTACCAAATACACACACACACAGAGTATCACTTTGCCTAACTCTTTGATCATATCAGAAATTTCATTAATAAGTAATGAGTTATTAATCCCAAACGGCAAACCATTTCCATTTCCAGCTTTGANTTGCCTAACTCTTTGATCATATCAGAAATTTCATTAATAAGTAATGAGTTATTAATCCCAAACGGCAAACCATTTCCATTTCGTATTTATTTTGTATTTCAGCAAGACTGACATGGTCATACTGTGACTACTGCTTTCACACTGAGTTAGGTGAGTTACAAACACCTAACTACCTAATGGAATGTCACTGCAATCCATTGTTAAGGAAGATAAGGCGACTTTACATGTTCCCTCTCTTGCATAAACCCTGGGAAAGCTTCATTTATTGAAGGTTATCTTGAACCTGGAATACACCATGTAAGCCAAATGTTTCTCCAAAAGGTAGAAAAATAGATATTACTATATAGAAAAAAATTATTTCTAAAACTATCTCATAATACACATTATAATAAATTATATATGCATTTTATAAAGGTAAACGTGAAAAGATAAAACGCTAAGAAAAAAGAATTTAATAAAGATGAAATTGTTGGGGGAGGGGTAGGCAGCTAGGGAAAGAACTTTCTAGATTAGATACAATTAAAAAATGATGTCTGGCCATACAAGAACATATTGATAGTCAATATAAACTTAAAATTTACAAGAAAACAAACAGCTGGAAGAAAGTAAACTCAGAAAATAAAATATAGAGTGAATATCTTACCAATATAAGGAACTCATACAAATTGGTAAAAAATGTGAACAGGAAATTTATAAAATATAACTAATCAGTAAACACGTGGAAGAAAATTACTCTTATGAATAATCAAAGAATTAGAAATTAAAACAAGATGCTATTTCTAGTCCAGGGTCTCTTAACCTTGACTATACTGACCTTTTGGGTTGGATAATTATTTGGCATAGGGAGCTGCCCTATGCCTTATAATATGCTTAGCAGCATCCCTGGCCTCTACGCATTCAAGGCCAATAGCACCCCCTAACCCCAGTAGTGACAATCAAAAACGTCCCCAGACATTGCTGAATATCCACTGGGGAGCAAAATCTCTTTCGGTTGAACCACTGTTCCAGTTTAACAGATTGGAAAATTTCTTAGTGTGTGTTGGTTAATATTAAAATGGGCAATGGTAATTTCATACACTCTGCTGGCAAGAATACAAAACAGAGCATCCCCTTTTTTGGTAAAAGCTGTATTGGAATATAATTCACATATCATACAACTCACCCATTCAAAAGGTACAATTCAATATTTTTAGTATATTAAAAGAGTTGTGCAATCATACCACAATCTCACAATCTAGTGTTAGAATTTTTCATCATTCCAAAATAAAATTCAGTACCTATTAGCAGTCTCCCCACACCGCCTCTGCCATCTGCCCTCTGCCAAGCACCAGCCTGAAGCAATCCCTAACCTACCTTCTGTTTCTATGATCTGCCTTACTCTGGACATTTCATGTAAATTCCATCAAACAATGTCTGTGTGGTCTATTGTGACTGGCTTCCTTCATTTAGCCTAATGTTTTCAAGAGTCATCCGTGTTTTAGCAGCCATCAGTACTTCATTACTTTTTAATTTTTAAAAACTTTAAAATTTTTGACAGTATTACAGATGTCTCCCAATTTCCTGCCCCCTTTACTCCTTTACTCCCAGCCCCTGCCCCACTCCAGGCCTTCACCACACTATTGTCTGTGTCTATTGGTTATACATACATGTATATAAGTTCTTTGGTTAATCTCTTCCTGTCTCCCCTCTCCCCTCAGAGATATGTCAGTATGTTCCATGCTTCAAGGCCTCTGGACCTATTTTGTTCGTCAGTTAGATTCCACTTATAAGTGAGATCATGCAATATTTGTCTTTCTCTGACTGGCTTATTTCACTCAGCATAATACTCTCCATCCATGCTGTCCCAAAGGGTAATAGATCTTTTTTACAGCTGCATAGTATTCCATGGTGTAAATGTCCCACGGCTTTTTTATCCACTCGCCTACTAATGGGCACCTGGGCTGCTTCCAGATCTTAGCTATTGTAAATAGTGCTGCTGTGATATTCTTTCTGATTGGTGTTTCAGGCTTCTTAAGAATCAACAAATAACAAGTGCTGGTGAGGTTATAGAGAAAAGGGAACCCTAGTACACTGCTGGTGGGAACGCAGACTGGTGCAGCCACTATGGAAAACAGTATGGAATTTACTCAAAAAAATTAAAATTGGAACTACCGGCCCTTGCTGGCCTGGCTCAGTGCTTGGAGCATCAGCCTGCGCATGGGAGGGTTTTGGGTTTGATTCCAGGTCAAGGGGAGGTACTTGGATTGCAGGTTTGATCCCCAGCCTTGGTCTGGCACATGTGGAAGGTAACCAGTCAGTGTGTCTCTCTCACATTGATGGTTCTCCTTCTCTCCCCTTACCCGTTTCCTTCCACTCTCTCTAAAAATCAGTGGAAAAAATATCTCGGCTGAGGACGAACAAAAACAAAGAAACAAAAAAACAAAGGAACTACTATTTAAAACAGTGATCCCACTTCTAGGAGTACTTCATTATTTTTAAGGCCAAATAATATTCCCTTCAGTAGATATCTGGACATTTGAGCTATTCACTCTTTAAATAATGTTGCTAAGACCATCTGTGTACATGTTTTTTAGTAGACCTATGCTTTCATTCCTCTTCAATAGATAGGAGTGGAATTTCTGGGCTTTATGGTAATTCTATTTTTAACATTTTGAAGAACTGCAAAATGTTCTCCAAAGTGGCCTCACTATCTTACATTCTCATCAGCAAGGCATGAGGGTTCCAGTTCTCTACATCTTTGCCAACACTTGTCACTGTCTGTGTTTTGTTTTTTAATTTTTATTGTAGCCATCTTAGTGCTTGTGAAATGATATAATTATTATTTACATTTCTCTGATTGTTAATAATGTTGAACATCTTTTCACGTGCTTATTGGCCATTTATGTATCTTCTATAGAGAACTGTCTCAAGGTCTTTTGCCCTTCTTTCAGTTGGATTATTATTAAGTTATAAGAATTTTTATACATATCCTGGGTACAATTCTCTTATAGGATATATGATTTGAAAATGTTTTTTCCCATTCTGTGCAATGCCTCTTTACTTTATTGAGAGTCCCAAACAAGATGGACCTAAAGAAACTCACACTAGGACACATCATAATTAAAATGGCAAAGGTGAAAGACAAAGAAAGAATCTTAAAAACTTCAAGAGAAAGACATTTATAATTGTTTCCTACACAGAAGCTCCCATAAGACTGTCAGCTGATATCTCAATAGAAACATTTCAGGCCAGAAGGGATTGGCATCAAATATTCAAAGTGATAAAAAGCAAGGAGCTACAACAAAGACTACATTACCTAGCAAGTCTATCACTTAACATTGAAAAAGAAATAAAGAGCTTCCTAGACAAGAAAAATCTAGAGGAGGTTGTTACCACTAAACACATAAGAAATGTTAGTAGGACTGCTATTTTTTTAAATTTTAAAATTCTTTAAATTTTTCTTTATTGTTGAAAGTATTACAGAAGTCCCCATTTTTCCCTTATTCACCCCCTCTGCCCCACTTGCATCCCCTCCCCAGATGTTCACCACACTATTGTCTGTGTCTGTGGGTCATGCATATATGTCCGCTTCCCTCTGATACTACTTTAAGAAGAAGAAGGGGAAAGACAAGGGGAAGGGGAAGGAGGAGAAAGAGGAGGAGAAGAAGAAAAGAAGAAGAAGAAGAAGAAGAAGAAGAAGAAGAAGAAGAAGAAGAAGAAGAAGAAGAAGAAGAAGAAGAAGAAGAAGAAG